GGCTTCGGGGCACGTCACTGCCGCAGGATGGGACAGGCTCAGATCTGCGTGGTGTCCTGGCCCGCTGGCGCTGGCTGCAGCCCCTCCAGCTGATGGAGGACATCATTTATGCTGGGTCGCTCCTGGGGGTTCACCGTCATCATGGAGGAGAGCAGGCGCTGCAAGGCAGCTGAGTACCTGGAGGAAAGACGGCAAGTGGAGTGTCTGCGTGGCACACAGCACAGGGTCTGCCTGGGAGCAGGGTCACCCTCCCCAGTCCCTCACCTAGTCGTGGGGGGCATGGCGATGGGGTTCTGCACCGCGAGAGCCACGCTGTCGCCCTTCTGGAAGATGGCATCGTAGGGGCCCTCCCCAAACATCATGCAGTACAGCACGCAGCCTAGGGACTGGAGCACAGCGGGGTCAGGGCAGCCCCACGGTGGTGGGTCAGGAGCTGGGGGTGGGGACAGGCAGATCCTTACCCAGATATCTGTGCGCTCATCTATGACGCACTGGCTCGGCACCGTGAAGAGCTCAGGGGCACGGTAGGAGATGGTGCAGCGTTGGGCAGCCCAGTCCTGTGGAGAGGAGGGTGAGGGTGGGGATGAAGGGCGTGGGGCAGGAATGGACTGGTGGGGTGATGTCCCAGGGCACCCACCTGCACGGCCATGGATGGCCTCCCGAGAGCTGTTTACTTCAATGCGAGCTTGGTTCATGGAGCCCAGGTCCATCAGCACGGGCTGGTCACCCTCATCCAGCAGCACGTTGGTAGGCTTGAGGTCCCTGCAGAGGTGGATGTCACTGAGCACCCGCTGGGCCCACTGCCAGCGCCCCCCCACCAACTAGGGCTCCCAGCCCCCCACCTGTGAGCATAGCCCTTGCTGTGTATGGCTTGCAGCCCACGGCAGATGCCATGGAGGATGAGGAGGATTCGCTGCTCTGGCATGAAGGTCCCTTTCCCTCGTAGTGCTTCCACCTCACTCCAGAGGGTCCCCCCCTGGCAAACACAAGAAGCCAGTTGCCGCTGCCACTCCTGGTGGCAAGGGATTGGGGGTGGCTGGGGGAGCCCCCCTCACCTTCACATAGGGCAGGAGGAGCCAGGCTTCGTGCTTGGCACCCTTCTCCACCATGCAGTGGGCCACCAGGCGCAGGATATTGGGGTGGTCGAAGAGACTGTGCATCTCCACCTCGTGCAGGGCAGCCTGGCGGTCCTCCTTGTCGTGGCACAGGATGCGCTTCAGGGCGTAGAAGCGCCCATCTCGCAGCCCCTCCACCAGGTCCACATAGCTGAAGCCCCTGCAAGGACCCAAGCTCGGTGTGGGCTGGGTGTCCCACTGCCGTAGCACCCGCGTTGGGGCCTTGTGCCCAGCTTCAGTTGTGAGCACCCAGGGGAGGGAGGCAGAGGACAGGGCTGCCTGCATCCCCCTCCATGGGAACCCCCCAGGCATGCATGTTCCCCCCACCTTGGGGGCACCTGCCAGGCACCCAAAACATCCCCTTTCTGCATGAACAACTCCACTGGCCCAATCACCCCCACTCTTGTGGGTCCAAGCACTCACTCCTGGGCATCACTCAGCATGAGAATCCTCTTCCATGCATATGCACTCCCTATGCTCAAGCATCTCCTCCCACCATGCCCAAGCATCTCCCCCATGCCCAAACACCCCCCGTGCTCAAGCTCTCTCCACCATGCCACAGCATGCCACACACACCCAAGCGCACCCCACGTCTGAGCATCACCCCCATGCCTGAGCATCCCTCTGTGCCCGAGCATCCCCTACGCCTGAGCATCAACCCCATGCGGAGCAGGCCCCCATGCACAAGCACCCCCGTGCCCGAGCATCCCCTCATACCTGAGAATTCTCCCCATGCCCAAGCATCCCCCGCAGGCACAAGCACCCCCCATGCCCGAGCACCCCCATGCACAA